TTTTTTAGGGGAGGGGGAGAGTAGGGGATTGTTGTACAATGATCATACAATACAGAAATTTAGGAATTCCTTGTTTACTGCTGAAAGCAAATTTTTCACATATTGTCGGACTGATTGATAAAGATACTGTGTTATTTTTCCTTGTTTTTTTTTTCTTCAATGATAAGGATGGTTTGACTATATTCAAGATGAATATGCTTAAGAAAGAGTAGGATACCTGCTTAAATTTTTTCATGAGGAATATAAGCCAGATATTTTGTCTACAGTACTTCTGTTACCTTTCTCTATATTGAATTATATATTTCCGCAGCTATACAGTCACTGAGATTTCATATACAGTGTATGTATAAGTAATGAAAATAAACATAAGATGTATAAATTCTATTTTTATACCCCATCCGAAGGAGAGAGGGAATACTGTTTTACTTGTGTGTGTCAGTCCGTCTGTCTGTCCAAAACAAATTTTTTGTTGCAGTTTTCTCAGCAACTATGTTATACTCATCACAGATGCTTGAAAGTTTAGCACATTCTTTGCTGAGGCATGCCATTTGGTGGGATTTTTCTATGAATCGGATGTCAACTTCCTATTGATCCGTGCATCTGCCTGTAACTGTAACTTCAGTTTATTAATATAATATTATATATTCACATCAGAGCAGGGGTTTGATTCGTGAGCATTGGCTCACAGACTTCTTCTTAGATGTGCATGAAAAAGAAAAAGGGAAGTCGTATTGTATTGTTACAAAAATATACACAAGTGATGGATGAAATATCATATCAACAAAATGAAGTCCTAAACAAAGGAAAGGTCTTCAATACCTGTACATGTATTTGGATTCTTGTATCATCTCTGGTAAACTAACATTTTTTTATGTTTTAATAAATGTTAATGATGAAATTTAGCATTAGATTATCAAGTATCGAATCAGAGACTTTGCATCACTAGTCAGAAGCTTTAACTGTTGAAGTACTTTCAATGTCAATACACAGTCTAAATCTTGTATAGCTTTAAAAGTCCCAAACATTGTAAAAAGCATTGTAAACCTTATTTTAATAATTTTAACAGTTCAGCAGAATTTTACACACACAGTGCACATGACACAGACAATTTTTTTATATGATTAAAATTATTTTTTTAAAATTACTGTTTAAATAAATTTGTATAATTATTTACTTTGAAGTCGCAATTTTAATATTGATATACACATGCAACATATTTTTTAAATCATTGTATAATATTACACATAGTTAATATTTTTATTGTTTTTAATTTAATTAATTAAAACCTATTTAAAGCTGTCTCAATAAAATAGCTCAAAACATTATATTAAAATAAATATTATTTTTTAAGTATATTGGTCTATTTACAGATGTTTTATGGGCTTTTATTCATTCAGTATTTCTCAATATTCTCAGTTGGATCCGCCCGCGTTAGTGCCTAGTGGTATACATGTACAGTAGATATAAAAGTAATTAATTTTAAAAAAAAACATCCAAGTAAAAGATAAAATGTAAATGAGTGTTTTTATGCTTAAACCTTTTTTTTCGATTTCCACAAATATTTTATGCTTAAATTGTAAGAAGAGGATAGATAGTAACGTAACATAAACACTCCATCTCCGCACGTTTTACATGATGCATGTTGTAATATTGCAGTTCATTTAACAGGTCGAGGAAACTTTTTTCTGTGACGTCGGAATAAATTTACATGTTAAGTGAAGAACCAACGTGACTGACTAATCGACCAATCAGCTCAATGAGTTGCATTATGGGTTACTACAAAAATACTACATGTGTGTTTCGAAAAGCCAGTTTTTTTAAATCGCTCTCGGAAAGACGTGATGCATTTTTCCAAGCATTTTACACGCTTAATATAATATGTACATTATTATCTACTAATCCCATGCTCACATTTACATACAAATGATTAACAATGATGAAAATCTGGGTTTTCCTCACTCAATTGTACAAGTCCGTTTGTTTACAGCTTTCCTCGTGGTTTACTTTCAGTGAAAAGTCAATTTCACGTGGCTATTCATCGGTACAAAAAAAAAAACAACTCTGAGGTGTGCTCACGTATTGACAATGTTTACAACGTATACAACTTCAAAACATACAGCATGCTACTCAATACACGTTCTGTGATCAATGCACACGAGAATTAATATAGAGGTAATAGATTAAAAAAAACGTGCAACTTAAATCGTTTTTTCTTAATGCATGAACTTTAAATTTCTAGTGACAAATAACTTAGCAACAACTAATTCAGTCAGTTACATGGCAAATTTACGATTATCAAGTACTGGAGTCCTTTTTTTTTAACTAATGTGGAGACTTTGTGAGCGGTATTTGAAAGTACTATTTAACAAGGAAAACTGACTTTGTTTGCTAATGTGAGCATGGGAATTCTTAATTAAAACCTATTCTTCGTATTTTTCTCAAACACGTTTCAAAAAATTGTAAATTGACTTTCCAGCAGTTATTTGAATTCACATCCTAAATTTCCCTAAACCCACGTGTTTGTAATAAAAATAAACATGTAGAAGACCATCATGCTTTTCGGCTCATTCAGTGGATTGGACCATTGTTCACTGTGAGCATCATTGTGCGCAATGACAACAATATCCATATAAGGTAGTTTCCTCGACCTGTTTAAGGTAAATAAACACCAATTATTAAAGAAAATGTTCTTTTTTAGAATAAAATATGTTGCTTACAATACGTATACATTCAGTTTCAAATGACAATGACTGTGAAGCGATCGCTAGACGAAAATTGATGCGGTGCATCTGCATCAGCTGCCATTGTTTACGTTACCTACGATGTCGCGTGATGCCCCCAATCCAAGATGGCGTCCAATAACCTTGAAAGGGTCTATTTAGGAAGCTAGTCCGACTTGATCCATTTCAGAAGTGCGAGGCAGATATGGCACCGAGTTTTAGCTGTTTAAAATACAATAAAAAAATATTAAATAGTTTTTTCTCGTCAATGATGAAACCAATTAAGATGAACTGTTAGGATCTAGGAAAACATCGGTCACATTGCATGTTTTACTTCAACTTCGATATGGTTAACTTGTACACGATTTCTACTTTCACTTTCGAATTTTCTCCATGTCATACGTAGGGCGGCACTGAGTACAGTATAGGCTTAAGTGTTCAAACAAATTTAACCAACAATTACTAGACCTAAAAAAAGTAATGCTGATTACAAATATCCATCATAGCAGAGGTCTGGCACATCGGCGCAGTATATGACACAGTAGCCTGCAAGCTAGAACTGTTCAGTAATGTATGCGTAATGTTGCTGTACAGAAAGTTCAAACATGTAAGGGCCTCAGAAATTATGAAACTCTTAAAAACGTAATGTTACAAAGACAACAAAAAACACTTACTTTTAACAGAGACTTGATTCGTTTTTCCTCTGTGTTTCACAACTTCTGTTACAGCTGATGACGTCAAACATGACGTTTCCGTCCGATAAAAAACAAAACCGATCCTGAGAAAAGCTACGGACCATTTTTAGCCGGAAAAAATCTAAATCCCAATTTGACATTTTGAAAGATAGACATTGAGCTTATAAATTCAGTCTAGATAAATTAATTACTTTTTCAGAATGTATGGAGAAAAAAATTGGACGAGGTGAATTAAGAGGGTGCAAACAGTTGGAACACCCCCCTCCCACACCCACACGTGTACACACCCTTACACACACACAAAGGCACTTGTATCGGAAATAAATTGTATCGGAAATACTTTTTTAACCTAAGGTATCATACTAACACAACTGTTACATGTGTATCTTTATGTACTGGGGTTAAAAATTTATATCCGACACAAGTGCCTACCCCCCCCCCTACCCCGGCGGTTTTGAGTATCCACATATGGACATCTTAATAATTAATCAAATGTCACTAAAATGATTAACAACTATTGTTTAAAGTTAGGTCTAAAATTTGAATAATAACATTAATCTCATGTTATTCTTATTGACATGAAATTAACATTAAAGAATTAAAGTTAAATTCACATTAACAAGAAATTAACATTAACTAATTAACGTTAATCTAATGTTAATATTTCGGTTCTAGTTTTTTAAGCTCACATAAAATTTTAATGTTAATTTAATGTTAAAAATTAACATGAAATTAATGTTAAGTTAAATTAACGTTAAAAATTAACATGAAATTCATGTTAAGTTAAATTAACGTTACAAATTAACGTTAATTTAATGTTAATCATTTTAACGTTAACTTAACACGAAAGTAACATTAAACTAACATCAATGTAACGTTAATTCAATGTTAATTGAGATTAACACTAAATTAACATTAGGCACAATTGGCTGTGTATGCTACTTATTCCCAGTTATCGGACCTTTCACATTTTCTTTGTTATTTATATACTTTATAATATTATAAGATTAATAATAACACGAAAATTAATAATAAAAAAGCAAAAAAAATTATTATGTGGAAAGATTAATGTGATTTTCCTGTTTTTAGGAAGTAAGGTTATAACAATATTTTCAAAACATAATGGGACTTTTCATTAAATTCATAACACATAATAATATTATATCTATAAATCTGTTACTATATAAATATTGCATGTAGTTGAGTGTAACATTGAAAATTTTCACCCCAAGAAAACCAATGTCAACCGAGGCGCAGCCGAGGTTGACAATGCTTTTCGAGGGGTGAAAATTTCAATGTTACACTCAACTACATGCAATATTTATTATATTATACTGAATGTTTTATACAAATACATATAACAGTGAACCGTGCGCGCATAAATTCTGCGCAGTCGCTATTTTTTGGAATACCACCCGTCGTTAAGCAATGTTGACTGTTGCTACGCTGGAGGGCGTGGCTTCATTATTCAGCGGGTAGTAGTGCTTTTTAACAAATGTTTCTCGACCAATCAGATTCAACTAAATAAATTTACATGAAAGTATAATATTTTGTAATACAACATCCATACAGCTATTATGTCAAGGAAAAAGTCATTATCATTTACTGTAAAAGTATTTAACTTTTTATAACATGTGTGAACAAGTATGAATAAAAGAATAATATAAAAAGTCAGTGAGGTTTTATCATCATAAGAGTCTCCTTTATCTCTCTACCATCAGTCACTGTAGGATACCATGGGTTGGTCCAGGACCCCGGGGACCAGGGTCCGTTAAGGAAGGCGAGGTGACATGAGTTAAACCACCAGCCTCCTCTACGGTTATAGAGAGCGGCACAGGTAGATCCAGATCTGTCGTGATCCCTGTCTGGGGTGGAGAACGACATCCCAGACAGATCACCGTCCGAATCCCCCGTGTCTAACATACTGTCTCCTGTGTAATTAGAAAAAAAAAATTACAAGGACACCTATTTCATAAAAGATCATTATCATTTACATTAAATTAAAAGCTAAAGGAAAACATCTGTGGTGTTCAACATTAAAAACTTTTTGAATTCTTGTATTACTTACAATTATAATAAACAACACCTTTTTAATTTAACATTTTTAGCTCACCTGAGCCGAAGGCTCAAGTGAGCTTTTCTGATCACATTTTGTCCGTCGTCCGTCCGTCTGTCTGTCTGTCTGTCTGTCTGTCTGTCTGTCCGTCTGTAAACTTTTCACATTTTCGACTTCTTCTCAAGAACCACTGGGCCAATTTTAACCAAACTTGGTACAAAGCATCCTTGGGTGAAGGGGAATTTAAATTGTTAAAACGAAGGGACATATCCCCTCGCAAGGGGAGATAATCAAGAAAAGACAAAAATAGGGTTGGGTCATTAAAAAATCTTCTTCTCAAGAACCAAAGGGCCAGTAAAGCTGAAACTTATGTGGAAGCATCCTGGGGTAGTGTAGATTCTAAATTGTTAAAATCATGACCCCCGGGGGAAGGGCGGGGCCACAATGGGGAATCAAAGTTTTACATAGAAATATATAGGAAAAATCTTTGAAAATCTTCTTCTCAAGAACCACTGGGTCAGAAAAGCTGAAACTTATGTGGAAGCATCCTGGTATAATGTAGACTCTAAATTGTTTAGATAATGACCCCCGGGGGAAGGGCGGGGCCACAATGGGGAATCAAAGTTTTATATAGAAATATATAGGAAAAATCTTTGAAAATCTTCTTCTCAAGAACCACTGGGCCAGAAAAGCTGGAACTTATGTGGAAGCATCCTGGTATAATGTAGACTCTAAATTGTTCACATCATGACCCCCGGGGGAAGGGCGGGGCCACAATGGGGTATCAAAGTTTTACATAGAAATATATAGGAAAAATCTTTGAAAATCTTCTTCTCAGGAACCACTGGGCCAAAAAAGCTGAAACATATGTGCCCATGGAAGGATCATGGGGTAGTGTAGATTTCAAAATGTCTAAATTATGATCAGTGGGGTAGGGTGGGGATGCATTATGTATAACAAGGAGGAAATCTGGTAAAGAACAGAATGGTCAAAGCTTCTCAGGTGAGCGATGTGGCCCATGGGCCTCTTGTTAGGATGTGGAAGTGACGGGGGATAAGGAGGACAGTAGGTCCCTCCACATTACGATCCACAGACCAGCCAGTTCTCAACACACCCAGCCCGTCCCCCTCCTTAATGCCAGGTTCATCTTCGATGATCACATCCGATGTATGGCAGCCAAGCAACGACTCACGAAAGGGCGGATAAAAGCTAGACAACTCAAAATGCACATGATTGAGAAGTTGATCGACATTCCGGGAGATTCTAGTAGTCGACAGAGACCGGTACCAGGTGAGAGTCACCTTATTTTCATATACTAGGTCACCTAATTTACTCACGCGCGCTGGGGTTTCTTTGTTGATAGTTGTCATTTATGTGTATGCATTAACACATTGAATTTTTTTTCCAAGAAGTGCTGAATAAAAAAAATGCGTGTGATAAGTATTTTTGGTCATGCAGGGTTCAGCATTAGGTCTTTGGGACAAATGCAGCGTAGTTTGAAAATGTATTGTCTTATTTCATATATAATTTAAAGAGGTGAATTAGGTTAAGGATTTCAGTTGCACTTTTATTGTGCCGGTTAATTTTTTGCTACTTCTCTTAAGAACTTAAGAAAATACCTGTGAAAAGAATTTCTTTTTTTAGAATAAAAAAAAATACAAGGATTTTCATTTTATGATATCTTTCAAAAAGTCTTGATAATGTATGTTGATTTTTTTGTCTATAAGAACATCTAATAGTACTATGATTTTTAATTAAGAATATCTTCGAAAAATGATCAGAAGTTAATCATGCATAGAATTCAGAGTTGAAAGCCAGGTAGACCATAATTTAAACATTTCATGACTTAAAGGTATACTTATGTGCCACACACATTGTTTTTAGGAAGTAGATATTCTAAGATAAAAAGATTCCCAAACTGAGAGACTGTCTAAATAACATCTTTTTCTTTCATGGCAAAAAGATATCGATCCATCCATTGCTTTTGTTTCTTGGATAACCTTTTCATCCAATAAGATTTTAAAGCAATTATAAAATTATCTGTATTGACCATTTAAGATACCCAGAAATGCTATCTAGCTTAATAACAATGAATAGCTCAATCCTATCAGACTTCCATTTATAAATTCAGGACTCATTCATATTGTATCAAGACTTTTGTAAGTCTTCTTACAATGCAGCTATATATAGTCTTTTCCATGAGAAATGATTCAAGCTTAGGCATAATGAGTCTTAACAACAGTTATATGACCAAATGGGGGTTACTATTCTTTGTTTTTTGTAGTTAATGGTAGTTTCAAATTCTAAAGCTTAAGGAAAACTTCCTTAAAATTTTTTTTTATCATTTCATTCTGATATATTGATTTTGAGTCCTAAAAGTTTTGAACACGATTAAGTTGATTGTGTCAAGAGTAGCAATTAAAAGAAATATTTTAACCACCAAGGACAAGAAAAGTATTGAGATAATTTATATTTTTATATATTAACTGATTATTAAATGATTGCAAACTGACAAACTGCGAATAAAAAATGATGCAAATAATAATGTGGTTAATACAGCACTAAAAGCCCTGATCAGAAGGACCATGCATGCATGGATGATGCATCCAGGTATATACACACAGATTTATGACTGTCCTATAATTGTAATTATTGAAGCAGATTCATTCCCAAGTAATTATAAGCTCTCTGTCACGGTGACCAAACTTGCATTTTGATGAACTAGCTGTTAATTTAAGTTTTAGAGTTGATCATTCTCAAGTAACTGAAATACCTATTGGGCCTGAACTTGCCTTGATTATACTCGGGATAGACAGTACCAGATATGCTTTGGAAGCTGGATCTGACCTATGTTTACAAGCCAGTTATGAACAATTAAATTTTTTTTGAAGCAGTACCAGTGAACCTTGTTACTTGATGAATCTCTCAGGGGAGGGGTTTTCTGACCCAGATGTAATTTACATTGATGCCTTTTTTAGCTCACCTGAGCTGAAGGCTCAAGTGAGCTTTTCTGATCAAAATTTGTCTGTCGTCTGTCGTCGTTGTCGTCATTGTAAACTTTTCACATTTTCATCTTCTTCTGAAGAACCACTGGGCCAGTTTCAACCAAACTTGCCACAAAGCATCCTTGGGTGAAGGGGATTCACGTTTGTTCAAATGAAGGGCCATCAGCCCTCTTCCAAGGGGAGATAATTATGAATTAATGAAAAATTAATGGTATCTTTTAAAAATCTTTTTCTCCAAAACCATTGGGCCAGGAAAGATGAAACTCATGTGGAAGCATCCTCAGGTAGTGTAGATTCAAGTTTGTTCAAATCATGACCCCTGGGGGTAGGGCGGGGCCACAATGACTGGTCAAAGTTTTACATAGGAATATATAGGAAAAATTTTTAAATATCCTCTTCTCCAGAACCATTCGGCCAGGATAGATGAAACTCATTTAAAATCTTTAAAAATCTTTTTCTCGAGAACTTTCTCAAGAACCTATATGCAGTATTGATATGGAGGCATTCTCAAGTAGTATTAAAATTCAAACCCCCTCCCACCCCCCCCAACCCCTCAGTAAACTTTTTAATTCGGATCTGATTTGTGCTTTTTCCTAGCTCAGGTGAGAGATGTGGCCCCTGGGCCTCTTGTTTATTGTTTCTTTGTTTTTTGACTGTATACGAACATGATGATGAATTCAAACAGAAATTAAAGATTGATTGTATGTTGTTTAGCGTCCCTGTCGAGAATTTTTCATTCACATGGTGACACCACGACTTGTCGGTTGTGAGCTACAAATGTTGCTCTATAATAATACAGTGCCTCTGAGCAGTGGGGGACACGGGACCTCGGTTTGTACGGTCTCATCCGAAGGACCAGTCTGCCCATCCCACAGTGTGATTGGAACACTCGACGTAAAGATCGGTTCCTTACTTTGCGGCTCTATCCACCGCGCCATGCGGTCTACGTCAATTAATTGAATTATTATTTCACTGATGTGAAGCAATTTTCTGAACTTTGAAACTGGTAAGCCTATATAGGTACATATAAAGAAGGGAAATTCAAACAATAAATTCAAGAACAAATAAATTGATATAATATAAGAAAATATCAGTTTGATTTTTTTCTGGGGGGGATGCACCTCTTTTAGCTAACATTACAGGAAACAATAGCTTTTATTCCATTTTTTTACCACATTAATCATTGGGAATTCTTCAAATTTGTGCAACTACATATAAATGCAATTTATGTAAAGAAAAACTTTTTTATTTTTGTATTGCTTTTATTAAATCTACGATGAATGTCTTCAACACAAAAGCGGGATACATGTAGTTACAAACAGTCATTGTTATCCACTGTAATTGATAACATTTCCAATACAGGTTTTTTAGTATTCGATGATTATTCAACACCTAAATTGATTTCCTACGAATGAGTTATGTATCTGACAACATTACCTACAAGTACACGTGCAGTGTTTACTGTATTAAGTGATATTGTTCAATACTTTTAACAATTTATTACTGATTGACTCATATAGTATGGACTGTCGATTTTCAAATTACAAGAAAAAATTGACTTTCGAAATATCGATATTCATGCATTACACCCGCAATAATTACCTAACAATAGGGCTGATTCTTAGAGAAAGAGTTGTCTATGTGTAACAAGTTATAAAACTCTCTTTCTCTCTCTCTCTCTCTCTCTCTCTCTCTCTCTCTCTCTCTCTCTCCTTTTTGATTGTCATTCATACATTTTTTTACCTACCCAGTGTCCCGGTGGCTGGTCCTCCAAGAAAAAGTCTGTAGTTGTTGGTTTCATCAGCAACAGAGAACTGGTTGTATAATTCATAGAGTTTTGTCCCATTAGTCAGTGTGATGCAGACGTAGAGGGAGGAGTTCCTTCCCTTTGTAAGCTGATTTATTACGTCATTTCCTTTAATATGTTGTCGTGTTATATATAATAATTAATGTTTATTTTAGGATTGCTGTCATATATATCTAACCCGAACCCTGAATTACGTCATTTCCGTAAATGTTTTATATTGTTGTATATAAGCATTTATAAAGCTAAATATTATCAGAATTGTTGTCATAGAAAGCAACACACAATTGTAAAGGTATGACATTTGTTTAAACAATGAACAAATATGTATTGAAATTAAAGTACAAAAATCATTTTAGTGTACTTGTATACAACATTAATTGTTATAAATTTCATTTATAAATTAATATAAATAAAAACTAATTCAAACTGTTAATAATCAGAATTCCCATCCTTTAAAACGACATAAGATATGATACAATTGTGGAATATGTACAACGAAAACAAATTAATGGTTCCCCAAGGGAGGAAAATATTTTCTGCATCTGAAACCCTAACCCTAACACTTAGGGAGCCATAAATTTGTCCTCTGTAGTCATTCCATAACTGTAAATAATTTACCTATCCAGTAGGAGTCTGTAGCGTTACCAACATAACTGTAAATAATTTACCTATCCAGTAGGAGTCTGTAGCGTTACCAACATAACTGTAAATAATTTACCTATCCAGTAGGAGTCTGTAGCGTTACCAACATAACTGTCAATAGTTTACCTATCCAGTAGGAGTCTGTAGCGTTACCTAATCCGTCCTTATACTCCGCCCAGGTTCTGCTGAATCTCACGGAACCACTCACCCGTTTCTGGATAGCCTAAGGATTTATGAATTATGTCGGATTCATTAAAGAAAATAGTGAATTTTTTTTTATTTTTGCTATGTTTTACTGTGAACAATGTTTCAAATGAGTTGTTCATTAAAACAATCATTCAAAACCGATATTTTTATTTAGTTTTAATATACACAATTTTTAAGTAATGATTTTTTTAAACAAAAAAGTTTCATACATGTACAAAAATCTCCTTATTTTAAAATAAATATTTGTAAGAAATAATATTGACTTTTTATTATCTTCATGTAAATTAGACAAGAAAAGAATTATTCAATATTCATTCAGCGACATTTTTCGCTGTTTTCAATAAAGAGATTTAATATCAGTTTTAAAAGCTGATTCATAAATTTTATAAGAAATATAAGCTTAAATTGATAGTTGGGCATTAGATAGAAAGAGAGAAAAGGGGATTGGAGAGAAAATGAGAAATAGGGGGTGGAGAGAGAGGCAGAGAGAGGGGAGGGAGAGAGAGAGAGAAGGATAAAAAAGAGAAAGCGAGACATTGAGAGAGAGAAAGGGGACGGAGGGAGGGAGAGAGAGAAAGAGAAAGAGGGAGAGAGCGATCTTACTGTCCATCCTCAACGTAGAAGAAATAGAAGCTAAAATTGATCGTTGAGCAAGAGAGAGAGCGAGAGAGAGAGAGATACTGCCCACCCTCCACCTTCTGTCACCATGTCATAGAGAAAGGGGCAGAAAAAATGATAAAGAGAGAGATAGTAATACAGAGATGAGAAAGAGAGAGAGTAGAGAGAGAGGGGAGGGAGAGAGAGATAAAGAGATCTTACTGTCCATCCTCCACCTTCTGTCATCATGTCACAGTAGACGCTGACCTTGCTTTCAATACCAAATGGATATATCTCATAAACACCTGGGTTCATATGCATAAAAATTCTTATTCTGCTAAGTATATTCTTAAGTGCTGATTTACCTTAAGCAGAGTGACGTTTTTTACTTAGTACGTCACTTAACGTTGTAAGTGGATTGCATAACGTTTCTCATTCTTACTTATATGTCTTAGAATATGCTTAAAGTTAAACAACCCCTCACCTTGTCTTAAGTTTTTAAGCATTTTGCTTACCACAACAAAATGGCTGCAAGACAGCAAAGGCAACGCCGTGTTTTTAAGCCTAGATTAGATCCCTTTACGGAATACAATGCTGTAGGACTTATCACACGCTACCGTTTTGATAGACAAGGAATTGAACATATCGGGACGCTGATTGACGATTTCGTTTCGCCAGCAACAAGTCGAAATGGTAGCATACCAACCAATTTACAAGTCATGATAGCTCTTCGCTATTTCGCAACAGGAAAAATGCAATTATGCAGGCACGTAGCATCGTTTTTGAAAGCGGGGGGGGGGGCCAACCTGAGAAAATTTTTTTTTAACTTACCTAAGAAAAGTTGACAAGCAAAAAAAAAAAAAAAAAAAAAAAAAAAACGAAAATTGGGGGGGGGGGGGGGTAGTTCCTTTCACCCCCCCTGGCCCCCCCTGATACTACGTGCCTGTTATGTAACGCAGATGACTTCGGAATTCACCAATCCACTGTGTCTAGGATTGTCCAGAGAGTCTCTACGGCCTTAACTCGACCGCACATCATTCAAAGATATATAAAATTTCCCACTGACGCTCAGACAATTCAGCGGCACCAGACAGACTTTCACGCAATTGCCAACTTTCCGGGAGTTCTCGGCGCCATCGACGGGACCCATGTTAGGATATTACGTCCTACAGTCAATGAAGAAGAATTTGTTAATAGAAAAAACTTCCACAGTGTAAATGTGCAACTTGTCGTGGACGCACATAGTCATATACTGGACATAGTCGCCAAGTGGCCTGGGTCAACACATGACGCGAGAATTTTACGAGAAAGTGGCATTAGCCAATTATTTCAAACACCCGGAATAATTCCTGTTAAATGTCACTTACTCGGTGATAGTGGCTATCCGTGCAAGAACTGGATCCTGACTCCCTTCCTTAACCCTGCAACCCGACAGGAAAGAAGATACAATGGGTAAATATGTCTTATTTAATATTCATGTAATACTGCAAACTTTTTTCTCACGGTTTTCTATCTCGACATATTTCAAGTTGATTTACAGTCAATTACCGCCATTCGATGAAAAAAGGAATGAATACATTTCATAGGCGTCGGAACCGGGGGGGGGCTAGGGGGGGCTTTGCCCCCCCCCCCCCCCCACTTTTTTTCCAAATATATACTTAGTATAGACATTGAACACATCTTCGTAGGTTTAGCCCCCCCCCCCCACTTTCCATAGACACGTCGCAGTATAGGTTAAAATAGGGGAGGTGGTTGTGAAGATCGACACCCCCCCCCCCCCCCCCCCCCCCCCCCACGAAATAGGATTTTCGTATTTGGACATTTTCTTTTTTTTTTTGCTTGTCAGTTTTTTTTTTTTTTGAAGGTTAATTTTATTTTTTTTTACACTTAGCCCCCCCACCTTCAATTTGCTTCCGACGCCAATGCATTTTCAAGTTAAAACTTACCCTCCCCCTAATTATTTCTTGCATCTTCATTAATCAATTATTTATTTATTTTTCATTCATAGATCACATAAGGTGACGAGGTGCATTGTGGAGAGAACCATAGGACAATGGAAAAGACGTTTTCACGTACTACATTCTGAGATAAGGTTGTGTCCAGAGAGAGCTTGCAAGATTATCATGGCCTGCGCAGTACTTCATAATTTAGCAAAATTGTTCAACACGCCAATCATTGATGAGGATGGAGAAAGCGACGATGATTCTGATGAGGGCAGTGAGGAAGATGATGCTGACAACAACAACTGTGTCCCTGACAATCTGGATGGTAGAGCATACAGAAATCACATTACAATGAATCATTTCTAGAGTCAACATTTATTTATTTATTAGATTACCATTATCGAATATAATTTATGTTCATTACAAACATTAATGTCTGAAAATAAATAAAAGATTTATAATTCTTTTTTATTAAAGTCTTTCAATTGTTGCTTCAGAAGGGTATTTCTCAGACGGAGGTTCTCAATTTCGAGTTGAAGTTTCTCTCTAGCTAGGTTACATGTAACTGTAGTTTCTCTTGGAGAATTTGGCGGCATCGGGAAGGCCGAGATACCCAGTGACACGTCTTGGATAATGGGCTGACTCGTGCACGCTGTGAGCTGTGGGTCGAGCTGAAAATCCTCCACCACTCTGCTGTTTAAAAATAATTTATAAAGAATTACTGGTATACTCGCCATATATGAGCATCAAATTAAATTATCGATTTACTATTCTTAAAAAAAATCAGTTATGAACAGGCAATATCGAGATAAAAAAAAAAGTAATGAAATTGACTGACACTTCAGAAAGCCTAACCCTTGCAGTGAACTCGATGGATTGTCTTCCATGCCCCTGTTGAAATTGTTAAACGTCATTAAAGAGGAATCAAAGGCCCCAGATATTCCGCAGATAGAAACATTTTCCTCACCAATTACCTCCTCAACAGCTTGTGACAATGCACTTAATGGTTTCTCTGCCGGTCCTCCACCTATGTAAATTGAAGCATTTTATTTTTATTTGAAATTCGTTTTTTTTTTACTTTCAAAAAGATATACGTACATGTATCCATTATTTCATGTATTTAAAAAGTTACATTTTCTTTATCTAAAAAATACCGAGGATCATTTTAGCTTAGATAGTCATATTTTTTTTTTTACAATGGCTTGCTAATTTTCGAGCTGATTGAAATTCAAATCATTATTACATATAGATCTTCGCTTTAATTGTTTGAAAAATCTAAAAGTTCTTCGCGGTGTGCACAGTCAAATTAAAATTAAAATTAGATGTTAGATCCGATGTTAGTGTAGCAAGTATGCGAGAGGATCTAACATCTACTATTTATTAGATTGTGAAAAGTTATAAGTATTTTCGGTAAATGAAATTGTTGGTCGGGGGAGGGGGAGGGGTATAAAACATAAAGGTGTGGATAATTCTCGCACAGGCCATTAGGATACACACAGTGACACTATGACCAATAATATGCTATAATAAATCAATTTAAACAATGTGCATGAGTACCAAGGTCGTCCGAATTTCCGTAAACTTTCCGTGCTAAAATAAATTGTACACAGTACGTCTACTCTTTCAGTCTTCGACACTTGTCTCTTGTCATTCGAATTTAAACGACACAAAAGTCCTATGGTACAGTATTATAATGTAACTTTGGTACTTAATAAAATAATATTTTAATACATCATGCGTCTCTTGATTTGGAATATCAAATTTAGAATTTCTGTGATAGCTAGATCTGGATCTACTGCTTACATTCGGGTACCTGTAATACGCTCGTGCATATTTTATCGTTATATTTCCTCAATACCGACAATAGAGTTATCACCCTTACATCACTTGACTAATGTATCTTAGATACGGTAAACAAACAACATGGCTGACATAACAAGCATACCAAGCATTTCACGAACCTGTTTTTTGCAGACTTCTTCTATAATCAGAAATCTCCCCTCTCCCCTTCATGTGGATGTTGTGCCATTTCTTTTCCACTTCTTCTATTGTCCGAATTGTTGAGGGATTTGCTGCATTGATAGCTTCAGTGATGGACTTCCAGACCTCTCTCTTCTTTTGGGTTGTCACACCGGCGCCGAATTTAGCCCTCAAAGTTTTCTTATTATCATTGAACAAACGTGTTAGATGTAAACACTCCTCCATTGTCCAGTTCGGTTTACGTTTTTTCTCTGCCATATTCAGACGATGATGACGTACAGCGGGAGATTCAATATCGTCAAAACCCGCAATGACGTCACACCATTGTGACGTTTTATTTTAAGCAAGAAGTGATATGCTTTGCTAAGATGCACTAAGTAAGGCACTTAGAATTTTTATGCATGGAGCTTAAAGTATGTTTCTTAGTTAAGCAGTTTGATTTGGGAATAAGTATAATACTTAAGAGAAAATCTTAGATTTTTTATGCATACGAACCCTGGATTCGTATGCATAAAAATTCTTGAGTCCTTAAGTATATACTTAAGTACTGTTTTTCTGCTTAGCAGATTGAAATTTTACTTAGCATATTGCTTAGCATGTTGCATAAAACTTCTCAACTCTTAAGTATATGCTCAGCATATGCTTAAAGTTAAGCATGGTCTATACCTGTCTTAAAAGTTTTTAAGCATATTGCTCAAGATATTTTTAAGAGCTAATTACACAAAAATAATTAAAGAAACTTTACAAAAATTAAATAGACAAAATGAAGAGTATTTAATTCAATGAATTAAATCATAATCTGCATGTAATCCACTTTATTATGTGGCTTTTATAGACTTTTCTAGAAGTTAGCAATTTAATATGAAAACGGTTTAAAATATGACGTCACTTGATTGTTGCGTAGCTTTGTCAGCACCTGTGATTATAAAGTTACCCCTTTTGAGATCACCATTGTACTCCATTATATTATTCTTAGTTTCTTACATTATCAAAAGAAGTAGATTTACATGTATTCCATATTACACATGTAATTCTCATTCAATCAACACACCAAGAGAGAGAGAAAAAAAAAAGAGAGAGATAATGACTTTGTATTCAGAAAAGTGCCAAATATTACACAGGTTATATGTACACACATTCGAAAGGAAACCTAGATTCATTGTGGAAAAAGTGTATATCATACATGCTCTCTAATTAAAAAAAAAAATGTTAATTAAAAAATTACATGTTATTTGATTCGCTTTCCTGTGGAATACGCAATTTTTCCTCTACACCCTCCACAGTTTATTCATCTATTCATCTCTCTCTCTCTTTTGAGATGATAAAACGTGTCATCAATATTAAACAAAATATTTTAATCTATTAAAGTGATCAAATATTAAAAGAAATTGTTATATAAGAGGAAGGTGAAATGAATATGAACAGTATTTCTCCTAATATTATTTCTTTGTTTCTTTATCATGACAGGTTTACATTTAAGTTAAAGCGGAAGTGACTTTATTGACATGGCAACAGTGTACTTAAGCAGATTGCGACATGCTTAGCTAAGAATTGCTAAGTATGTTGCTTAGAATTTTTATGCAATGGAAATAAAGCATGTTACTCAGCTAAGAATATGCTTAAGAAATTTAAGCATATACTTATGAAAATTCTTAGAATTTTTATGCATACGAATCCAGATGCTGTGTTACTCTGAATATTGAGGTTCTTACAATTTTTATATAACTCTGAAAGAAAAACATAAATACATGATTTGATAATAATCGTAATATAAAATATACTCAGAGAAAGAGAGAGAGAAAGAGTTACCAGACTTGATGGTTTGCAGTATACTGCTCTTCAAGTCTTCGTGCAGGATGTTGGTTACATTTTTCGTCAGGAAGTTAAACATCTCGTAAAATTCTTCTTGAATTTTCTTCTAATTAACCGTTATCCTCGCGTTTTCACTTCTCAGGGAGTCAATCTTTTCGTTTAATATTTTTATAGTCTGATCATTACGGACGCAGTCATTTTTTTCATCGGAATAAATTTGCTGAGAACTAGCCGCACAAAAGAACAAACCGTACACGATGGAAGCCGCCAAAACTCCTGCCATGGTTTTACTTGCACGCTGTCTAAAAATAAGCTTCCCTAAAAAATCAGTAGTTTATATACCCTTAAAACGGGAAGTTAAAAATTTCCCTAAAATATTTTGCTACCAGAACATTTGAACGTTAAGAAGCGAATTTTAATCGAAGTCAAGAAAAAAATATTCAGGATGTATGGGTCATAGGTCAAATTCAGAGTAGTAGTGAATGACATTATAAAAGATTACTTTGTACAGTATATAGCTTTTTTAAAACTAAAAAATGGACATAATGTTTTTAAATACTATATTTTAAATTGATACCTACATGTATAAATGAACAGGTCAACACTTAATGAGACTTTTGTATTTATTCATATTCACTTCTTTAATCTGTTGAAGTTACAATTACCACACATGTAGAATTTTTAATACTTTTTTAAATATAAGTTGTAATTCTTAAGAATATTTAAAGCTATTATTAATTCTCAAAAGCGATTCAAATATGAGTTAGACTAATTAATTACCTTGTGAATGCCACTTTTTGTATAGAATGACCTATAAACCTAAGGTACCTCTGTAAGGTATGAAATATACGGAGATAAAGAACAGTATTCCAGTTTAAAAGTCCATTAAACGTTACAAAAAAGAAGCAGAGCAAACAGGGGCCTCCAAAACATCAGAGTGGGATCAGGTGCCATGGAGGAGTGAGCATCTCCTTCTGAGCGGTCACGACCGCTTTGTGTTCCTTGACAATGGACAATCTTTTCCGATGTATTGTATCTGTCCCCCAAAGCAATCTTTTTCTCCTTAATGTGTTTTTGAAACAGTAATTTAATTGAGCTGATCTTATTAGAGCTGACCCCGACAAATTAAAGATAGCCACTTGTTATTCTTGTCGAAGAGGAAAACATACTATTTAGCATCTCCCAACCTTTTTAGGAACAAATCTACCTTTTATGCTTTTAAATCAATTTTCATAAGGTATTTTATTCAAATAATCTGTCTTTTGTATTTTTGATAGTTTTGAAGTTGTAAAGTGTCCCACTCAATATAAATTGCTATATGATATCAATAAATACACAAAATGTCTATTATGCATGTTTTTTTTATTGGCAATTGAATTGTGAACTGTGTATAAAAATTAAAAGCAGATATTTTCGTTATAATAAGTACGTGTACTAGCATGAAAATTTAAATTATCATTCATCGCGTTTAGGTTTGAAGGGATTGTATGCATGTTTGTATTAATATCTGCGACATTATGTGGGTTTTTATTATTAAATATTAAATTCTATGCATTAAGTCCTGCTAAAGAATT